ATTTAATTTATGCATTTGTGGGTTAATTGGTTATATATAATTGTACCTTAATGTTGTGTGTATGAGCATGTTTTTAAATGTTTGTGAAAATGCAAATTGTGGCATAAAATTTGATGGTTTAGATGATTTTTGAAAAAAGAAAGAAAGATATAGATTGTATGAAATTGCAACTTTGTTTGAAACATGATTTGATGAAAAATGAGAAATAATGATTGCGAAACGTGATTTGATGAAAATGAGAAATATAATACTAAATAAGTTCATGGTGGCCATCAATAGGCTAGGATTTAATAAAAGTTACTAATCTTTCATAACGTGATAAATTGATATTTAAATTTTTATGAAAAGAGATGCCAACATTTAATATTTAATTATATTTTAAATATAATTATTTTTTATAGGATAATATATGTGCACAATCTAAAAAAAGAAGGTCATTGTGATTAAATTTCATTTCATTACATGTGTTGTTTATCAGAAAAGACTTTTCACTTATCGTTGACAAATACATTTTTGGATCCTAAGTGACTTTTAGCGTATAAATAAAGGCACCATTACCTACGTTCCGCAAAAAGTTTGCAGAATAAAAACATAAGTTTTTACTCATTGGAAGTCAAAATGGGACAAAGTAAATTGTACTTTAAAAAAATATAATTATTAATCTTTATAATTTTATTAATTTTTATTTTCAGTCTTTGTATTTTTTCAGTACTTTTAGTTTCTATATTTTCAAAAAAATTGAGTAACATTTATTTCTTAAATCTCTAATGATGTTAAAATATATGAATTACAATAATTGAAAACACTAAAAACAAATTAGAGGAATTAAAAATAAAACTCCATAAAATTATAAAGATCAATGATTATAGTTTTTCTTGTACGTTTGATTTAGAAAGAGTTTTTTAAGGTTAAAAAATCAATCCTTTTTAGATTATTTAGAGATTTTATAATAAAAAAATGATGATTTGTTAATTATTTTTAAATTTATGATATCCTCCATAATTTGTGTTTAATTAAAAAAGGATTTAATATTTAATTATTTTAAAATTTCATAATATCTTTGTAAATCTTTCATTTTTAAAACATTTTTTCACTTTCCGTATCAAATTATTTTCAAAAACTACTTAAAATAGTTTCTTAAATTAATTAGATATATGCTTTGATCATTTTTAAATGTTTTAAAAAAATATTGTAAAAACTTATAAAATAGACTTAAAAAAATAAGTGAATTTTTTAATAAAAAAACTGAAACAAAACGGGACTTAATATTTTTAAATAATTGAATTGAATACGTTGGCAAAAATATAACTGAATTGAACAAATTTTTCAAAGAGATTAAATTTAATTTAAAAATTATCAATAGAATGAGATTTTAGTATTAAAAGATTGCATTAATAACAATTAATTTTTAATTTTTTTAAAATAAGTAGTAAATATTAATTCAGACAATTATAAATGAAAACTTTAATTGTAAAATGTAAAGTTCCCCATGCTAACCTTTACCTAACTCCAACATCAAGGTAATCAAGGGGCTAACCTAAAAAATTGCCAAATTTGTAAGTTTAAATAAATAAGATCCCAAGTTTTTAAATTTTGAAACACTTCAATATACCTTCATTGATTCAAAAATCAAAGCAGAAGGTGTTTGCAAAAGCATGAAAACTTAAAAAAGTTAAAGCATTTGCAATATAGTTAAAAACATCAAAACAATGTAGTAGAACAAAGATGCGCCACGGCTTGTTGCACGTGTTATGGCATGTTTGCCTTTGTGTGATGCGCCACAATGCATTGTAAATTTTTGATAGCATTATTGTTGTCATGTGACAGCAACTAAAGCAAACTTCCCACACACCCTATTTCTCCATCTGATAGAGGCAATCCAAGTGTTTACGTAAAGCTTTTTTTTTTAAACTTTAGTTAATAACATTAGTTTTATAATTAAATTATTTTTCAATAAAAAATTAGATACCTATTTCTCAACTCATTCTTTTTCACAAATTCAAACTCAACCTGGGCATCATAATTTTATTTCAAGTGTCAAAAGCCAAAATTACACATTAAAGTACACTCAATAGACTATAATAAACTTATGTAATACACAGCATCTTAAAACAACATATCTAACACATTTTCAACACTCAACCCCCCTTAATTGCAAAGACAGAAGGTGAACCTCAATAGCATAAATCATTAATCAATCATCCTTAATCACAAGAATTGCTCATCTCTTACTTGCACTAATATTTTGATCTTTTTTTAGAATTCACAATGAATACATATACATTTTAGGGCCTAAAATACACAATATAATTCAACAATCTCATAGTGTAAGTAAGTCAAAAATATGAACTTTCCTAGTTGGCAATATCATATGAATTATACACATAATAATAATTAAAATAAATGAGGCCTACTCTTTTAAGATAGAATTATAAGCCTCAAAATTTTTCCCTTGGTCTTGTTCCAATGAGCTAGCTCTTATACAACCACTCAATAACTAAGGTATGCTAACTTATGCTAGTAGATGTTAATTAATTTATATGCAAGTGGTAATTATGATCAATACTCATGTCAAATTAACATGCTCAAAACACATATTTGCAATTTTCATAATCAATATCCATTTTCAATAATTTACAATTCCATTTTTACAATCATAATATTAATCATATATATTATAACATGTTCTCAATATAAGGAATACAATATAAACAATTATATGTCTTTTTATTAAAAAAATGCATGATCACACCTCTCTTATAACTTTCATATGCCTCCAACATAAAATCATGGGTTATTACACACTGGAATCATTCAAGTAATGAGAATACCCTAACCATTCACGCGTGAGAAGCTATCCAGTGAAGATTGTTTAACTTGTGAGTTATGGTTTTTCCTAAATCTCACATTGTTGAGTGTCATTCTTCTAAACTAACTTCCCCATCAAACAAGTGAAAAGTAGAGTAGGTTCAAATCCTTGATTACACAATGGGACAATTCCTCATTAAACAAATGAGATAATGAATAATAATATCCAAGCAAATTATCAATCTCCAATAAAAACTTTACCACGTAGATTTTAACTCACTATTGTTTTTCCTAAGCGAAGTCCCACCTCTTATGATCATGTGATGCATAATTACAATGTTACATGGCATGCAAAATACTCAATGATGCATGCTTAATATCATCATTATACTCATGTCATTAATGAGCATCACATAAACACATCTTAATAAGTCTTTAAACTCTTTAAATATCACATCATTGAACTCCACAATATTATATCATTAGACTTCACAAAAATCGCATCATTGAATTTCACAAATTCATATTATTGAACTCCATAAAAATATTACATAATTGAACTCCACAATTTCATATCATTGAATACAACAAAAATATCATATCATTTTAAAACTTCCCCTTATTATAACAGAGAGATTAAGATTTTATATGTCACACTTGCGTTACAAATAATTTCACAATTAACAATATTAATTCATAATCAAATAATTAATTAACACACAAGAATATAAAAAGATTTTTCCTCAATTTTCTTAAACCTTTGAGAGATCAAAAGTTTACCCCTCAATTACACACTGTTAAAGCTTTCACAAAGCTTGAATGGTGCTAATAAGTAATTAGTCTACAATTAATCATGTTAACAATTGTCAATATCCCCTTCCAGGATGATGTCCAATACCCACTCAATACTTTTAAATTTTTAAAATCACAACTCTCTCATTTTTAACCACATCCATTGAGTTCATTAACTCCCATTAGGTCACATTAATTTTATTAAACTCTCAAATAACCATTAATAGAGCTATGTTACTCCATTTACCTCATTTATGGAGGATTTTTAGGCATTAATAACTTCCAACAACCAAATACGCATAGAGTCATAAATGTTAGGTTTAAATAATTTAAATAACTTTCATTAATTTTTCTCACTTTTTAATGTCCAAGTGGCCCCACTTTGCTCCAGACTTAATCCTAAGGTTGAAATCATAATCCATAACATCCATTAGCTTTCTGTAAATACACACCACATTATTTACTTAATTAATCTAATTTATTCAACTAATTAGATGTTAAATTTTCTAGGATGTTACATAAATTGAAAATTACATTTGAAAATTAAACATTTTTTGAAATTGAGATTTAAATCAAAATTTGCGATTGTTTTTTTTTTTAATATGTCTAAGAACTTAAATGTCACTTCCTTAGTCCCAAATCAATTTTGAAAATATTTTGTTATCTCAAAATATTAGATAATTTGATAAAAATAAGATTTTATTAATGATAATTTTTCAATATTATCTTTTAAGTGAAGAGAAAATTAAAATAATTGAAGTGTAAAATTTAAAGTTATATTTTCTCTATTTTAAATTATAAAATACTTTTAGATAACACCACACATACCAATAAAGTTTATTAAATATACTTTACAACTCTACTTTTTCGAACAAAAATACAATCTTTTAAAAATGCCCCTTCATTTAATACTTTATTTATTAAAAAATATTAACAAGAGAGAATAATGAGAAGAGTAATATAAAAAAAATATCATTAATAAAAATTTATTTTTACTAAAGTATCTTATATTTTAAAATATCAAATTTTTACTAAAAATATTTTATAATTCAATGTGGATATAGCATTAAGTATAGTATATATTTCAAAGTTTATATTTTATATTTTTGCTTTTAAAAAATAAATATACAAAATATTGTTGTTAAAATTTATTGACATGCATAATTTTATTTTGTTTTGAAATTTGGAAAGGAGGGAATAATAATGCGTTATTTTGAAACCAATTGTGCCAAATTCTTTATGTTGAAAGCGATGACTTGTCAATATCCCATTGGATCACATCTATAAGAACAAATTGCGTTCAACGTGGCGTATTTGTCTGTCTGATCTGGCATGAGCCATAAATTAATTAATTAATGTCAAAACTTAAAATCCACGTCGGAAACTCCAGGACGATTCACCATTCAGAAATCAGAAACCTTCCGCCTTCCATTGGTTCTCTCAGCTGCTGCTCACAGAGAGAGAGAGAGAGAGAGATATTAGCTGTTGACCCAGAGATCTAGGGCTGCTTTGCAAGTCTATAGAATTCAGGGAAGAAATCTTTATCTTCTGCTCTTTCAATTTTGCAACTTTTCGATCTGGGTAAGTTTTCCAATCTGTTTTTCCCCTTCAATGATCCACAAATCAATCCCAACATTGGTTTGAATTTTCTGTCTGCGATTCTAGTCTCATCAGATGGATAGCAATTATTCTTCGATACCCAAAAGCTCTTACGTAGAATTACAGCCTCAATCTGATTACCCTAACCCTTTAAACTCTCCAAGAAGTTCCTCTTTTAATGGAGCCGGTTATTTGAGATCCAAGGACGTTGAAGGAGAAGATATTGATGATGATTTTGAAACTGATATTGATAATTATCCTCTTGTTGTTAGCGGGCCTAATAGTGGTTCTGGGGTACCTGGGGCGGTCTTCAATCTGACCACCACGATCATTGGGGCAGGGATTATGGCCCTCCCTGCCACGATGAAAGTTCTTGGAGTGGTTTTGGGGATCGTGTTGATAATTTTGATGGGGATTCTGTCAGAAATTAGTGTTGAATTATTCCTGCGATTTTCAATTATGTTTAAGGCATCGTCCTATGGAGAGCTAGTTCAACATGCCATGGGAAGACCGTCTAGGATTTTGTCTGAAATCTGTATTATAGTGAACAATGCTGGTGTTTTGGTTGTTTATCTGATTATCATGGGGGATGTTATGTCTGGTTCTGTTCATCATTTGGGGGTTTTTGATCAATTAATGGGAAATGGCGTTTGGGACCATAGGAAGCTTGTGATTTTGGTCATCACAGTGATTTTTCTTGCACCACTTTGTTCTTTGGATAAGATTGACTCGTTAAGCTTGACTTCAGCTGCTTCTGTGGTTCTTGCTGTTGTGTTTGTTGTGGTGGCTTTTGTTGTAGCTTTTATTAAGCTAGTCAAGGGGCAGATTGATGCTCCAAGGATGGGTCCTGATTTGAGCTCAAAACAGGCCATATTGGATTTGCTTGTGGTGATCCCAATAATGTCAAATGCATACATTTGCCATTTTAATGTGCAGCCAATATACAACGAACTTAAAGATAGATCTCCTCAGAAGATGAATCGAGTAGGAAGGATCACTGCTATGTTATGTATCTTGGTATATGCTTCAACAGCACTAGCAGGCTACCTACTCTTTGGGAAGGATACAGAGTCTGATGTGCTGATTAATTTTGATAAGGATCTTGGAATTCGTTTTAGCTCAGCCTTGAACTATATTGTCCGGATTGGCTACATTCTCCATTTGATACTTGTTTTTCCTGTCATCCATTTCTCCCTACGGCGAACAGTGGATTCATTGGTGTTTGAGGGATCAGCACCTCTTTCAGAGAGCAGGAAGAGATGTCTGGGGTTGACGGTGGTTCTGTTGATCCTCATTTATATTGGCTCTACCATGATTCCAAACATTTGGTCTGCCTTCAAGTTCACCGGCGCAACAACAGCAGTGTCACTTGGATTTATTTTCCCACCTCTTGTTGCCCTGAGATTAAGTCATCATGGTGGCTTGAGCTATTTAGAAAGATTTCTTTCGTGGTTAATGATGATACTAGCTGTGATTGTTAGCATAGTTGGAGTCGTTGGCAATGTCTATAGCATCAAAGAGTAAATCTGACTGAATCTTTGTTCATGGTTGCTTTTGCCATGAATCAGACAGAACTATGGTAGTTTTAGTTTACACGAAATGCTTAGGCAAGAAAGGAGACTCTGTTCATCGGTTCTGGTGCGAAATGGATTCAAATTGCAGAAGTGTTGAGAAGAACCTTCAGGCTTAGGGTTGGCAATTTGGACAATATGCTTGATTTTCCCCTCAACCTCACTCATGACAAGAGTTGCACATAGAGGCTTCTAAAGGTTCATTATCTTTGTCATTATTAGTATCATTGTTGTTATTATTATTATTATTTCTTACTGATTCAGTTGGCTATCATATCTTACTATTTGGGGACTGGTGACTGGCTCATTAAGCACCGGAAGTATTTGTTGCGGATTCATTGTGGGCATATCTTTGCCGTAATGATAACTATTAGTCCTTTATGCTAGTCTTATTCTCATGTTCATTCTTTTACAGAAGAGTGGCTTTGTACATATTGTGCGTATTTTCAGGTTTAGCATGAACTCCAAGATTCATTCAGTCTATGGCTGAAAATACTTTCCCAATCTTTTTTATAAGTTACTTCTAACGAACTCACCAAGGCCAAGGTGAATTAGTTAGAATTATAACATTATTTTAAAAATAAATTACTTTTCAATTTTGCCCCTAAATTTAAAAAAGAGTTACTTGAAATGTGGAAAGTGTTCTTGAGAATTGAGATAGTGCACTCCTTTTTAGAATTTCTTGGAATGTAGTTTTGGAATTGTATGTCAAAAGATACAAAAAACAAGGCAAAGTGACTTATATAAAAGATCAAGAAAATCTTTTAATATGTGACTAATAAAAAGGACTCCAGGGAGTACATGTTGATCTACCTTAGGTTTGAGAAAATGTGCTAATTTATGAACAAGTGTGTGCATTTATATGCATACATCCAAATGCCATATATTTCACTGATTTTTTTATAAATCATTTTTATCAAATTTATTAATATTAATAGAAAAATATAAAAAGAATAAAAGTGAGTAAGATTTCAAATATGTTTTTATATAACAAATTTTAAAAATAATATTATATTTTTTTCTTTCATAAAAGATAATTTTAAAAATACATTTTAAATATTACTTAAAAAGTTGTATTGTAACTTATAAAAGCGATAAAATGAATCTTTTAGAATATATTTTATAAATGGGATTGGAGGAAGTATCATTTTGCTCGAGCTCCTGCTTCTTCCCTCTTTTCTGTTTGCTTTTGAAAAATAACAACAGTTGCAGATATACGATCTCTTAAGGAGGTCCTTCCCATTATTGTTTGTGCGCGTGTTTTGAGGGGAAAACATGGATACAGAATCAGATTCAAAGGATTAAACACCACTAAATGTAGTAGAAGGACAGAAGTATAATTGGGCTCGTGATGGAACCAATTTGAGGTTGATAGAAGTTGATCATCTAGGGATGCATCTAAAACTAACTGACCTTTGCAAAACTCAATTTTGATAGAAGTTGCTGAAGATGCAGTTTTGCTTGATACAATATACGTATCCTGCTTTCTTGAGCAAGACATGTATACACACACGACCTTCTTTCAAAAAATATAAAGCATTTTTTTAATGTGAGATGTTTAAAACTATAAAACATTTTGGGTATTTTAAGGCACACTTCGAGAGGTTTTTCCACAAATACTTTTAACGAGGAGATATGATTAATAAGTTTTTTAATTAAAATATCTTATTAAATAAGATTAAATATAAAAAGAATATAATTATGAAAATAATTGCCTAACTCATTAGGGATGTAATTTAATTAAAAATACTTTATAATATTTAATGCAATAGCGTACATGGATGGATGCATACATATTTGTTCACTAGTAGCTTTTCCCCAACCTGTGGAGCAATTGAGAGCTATTAGAGTTAGATACATTAAAGTGGACAAGATAAAATTATTATATTCAAGGGTTTGATTAATTACCATCCTCTGATTTCAACTGAAGGGGAAAATTGATTATACAATTTGATTTATTTATCAGCAAGTATTTGGGCTCTATTAATTATTATTATTATTATTATTATTATTTTATTTTATTTTATTAATAAAGAATAAAATAGGCCAATAGCAGTTGAGTTGAGTTAAAGGAACTCCATTTTCCTTAATTAAACTTGAGAGTTTGCACTGAGTCTTACAAAAGTCAAAAAAATTAAGTTGAAAGAGTTATCTCTTATTGAACTTGATATTTTTCGAATCTGATTTGGTCATACCAGATACTGAATAATAGTATAAAAATAATTACTAAGTCATAAAAAATCTTAAATTGTTTCTACCAAACAAAAAATCTTAAATTGACTATTATTTTAAAATGGAGAGGATTTGAGTATGGAAATCTGACCTCACCCGTTGGGTAGCAGCATGTAATTGATTGAAAATGCATTTTATTCATGCTTTTCAATATTGACCAGTATGCTAAGCAACGCGCTTTCAATTATGGGTGGTGGTTGACTTAGGTTGTTAATTTTTGATTAATCACAAGTCTCTCTCCCCCCACCCTCCAATATCCTAATCTTATTTATAAATCACTTTCCGTATATTTTATTAAAATTAAAAAAAATTTAAAACTCATTAATTTTTTTTAAAAAATTAATAAGTTTTCAATTTTGTTCACATGAAATATGCATATTTTAATAACACTTTTTCTCTCTTCAATATTTAATAGAAAGTAAAAAAAATTAATAAAAATATATTGATATGACTTATAAATATAACTAAAAAATATTCTTTTTCTATTTTATAAATAAAGTCAGAGTATATATAAGTATATATAACGTCAATGCCAACTGCCAAAGGGTTTGCACACAAGGGAATAATATTAACTTTACCCTCACGACAATCCTTTAATTAATCTAATGAATTCAAACAGCTAAACTTTTTCCTAAGAAAAAAGGCACAAACAAAAAGCTTTGAAATTACTAATATAAATTGAATGATTAAAAGAGTTAATTACTTACAATATAATAAATTAAAATTCAAGTGTTTACATTCAATGCTCAATTGTGTTTTAAATAAGGATAATACTTACTTGCATTAAAAAGTTTCAACATTATTTGTTAGTCTTGTTTGGTACATGAAACTAAAAGCTAAGGATTAGGATTGGAACTAAGAAAACCCAACTTTTCATGTTTAGTATGGATCATTGAACAATCCAAACTCAATCTTAATTTCACTTTATATGGGATTGTTTAGTACTACCCATCTCTCTGGGTTTGCAAAATTATTTTTGAAATTGAAAATATTCAAACAAAATTGTCCTCACCCACCCCCCTCTCTCTCACACACACGTCCCTTCCCTTCCCCACTGGCATGTCTCTCTCTCATTCCTTCCCCTTCTAGACAGTGTCTCTCTCATCCCTTTCTCATGCATCTTCGAGCTCAACATAGTGACTCACTAGTTCAATGGTTCTTGTTCAAGTTCGACATTGATGTGTTCAAGCTTGCGTTTGTTAAATCTAGGTTCATCTTCCTCTCTCACATCAACATCAATGACGAGTCACTAGTTCAAGTTTAAGTTGATCATTGATGGGTTCAAGTTCATCTTCTTCCAAATTTAGGTTCAACTTGTAAATTAATAGGTTCGAGTTCCAGAGCTAGTTCAAGTTTTCCCCTTGAGGCTTATCTTTCAGATCTAGTTTGAGTTTCAGATCATTCAACCCACCATTAAACATTGATCAATTTATCTCCATCACTCCATCATTGGTCCACATCTCATTTGAGTTCCAGAGGCTTCAATTGTGTATTTTTTTTTTTTGTTAATGATATGGGATATTATAGCATTTTGATAATTTTTAATTGATTATAAAATAAAATTAATATAAGAATTCCATTCAAATATTACTTCTTGCTAAGCATATATTCTTGAATCTTCAATCTTAGTCTCACTTCCTGTCTCAATTTCAATCTCCCAAAATTCATACCTGCATATCAAACGTGGCAGTAAGTTACCCTCGCATTACTTCACTTGAAAATTGAACTTCGGATGGCTCCATCTTGCAACAAATCACATAAAAAGACAATAACTTGAATGCCGGATCCACTGTGCTATGAAAAGTCTGACCCTCCTCCAATTTTACTTAAATATCCAAAAGCGACGTCGTTAACACGTTTTATGCGTTCTGGTCAGAACATCGGTTGGCCAAAAACTAATTCAAACATTGGTTGGCCGAAAAATTAAAAAAAATATTCAAAACATCGAGAACGCATCCAGATCTAGTATTATTGTAATATATATTCACACACATCAAATATTTTAAAATTACTCCCCTTTATTTCTAATTATTTTATTGAAATTAATGAGGGGTAATTAAATTATTAATATTATTTAAAAAAGAAAAGAAATCTCTTATTTTACTCTCATTGAATTCATTATATTTAAAAACACTTTTTCTATTATATATAACATTTTAATATACTTATTAACAATTGTGACTGGGCAAAATTAAAATAAAATAATTAATGATATATTTTTTTATGCAAAATAAAGGATAAACATAACTCTAAATCCTTATATTTTATTTGCATTTTGTTATTTTTCTACGCACTTTTTTGATATTTTTGAAATCTATATTTTTATTTTTTATTATTTTAGATTTCTCTAAGATTCCTATACTTTATTCTGGAAGGACTAAAATAATAAAAAATAAAAATATAGAAACCAAAATACTCAAAAAATATAGAGATTAATAACAAAATATGAGCAAAGTACATGAATCTAAAATTATTTTTTTAAAAATAAATTATAAAAATGACTATTAATTTGTTTTTAAAAAATGACTTATATATAGAATAAAATGAGTGCCCATTACCTATTTACTATGGTTTAACAGTTAAGGAGATTTAAGTTCTAATTTGACATGCCGTAAGGTTAAACTAGACTCAAATCACACGTGAACCATACTTTCACTTTTAAATTCATATCATATCATGTCTCCATGCGTTGCTTGTGATAGAATTTACATCTACGTTATCAGATTCCCTCCCTTTTCTTTTCAATATTTTTTTTAATACTCTTTTCCTAATTTTCTTATGCCAGTGAAATTTTTATTCTCATAAAAATCCATATTATTTTTTAAATTTATTTTTAATTTATGATGAATAAGAAAAAGAAAATAAATTTATAGACACAAGAATTTAAATTAATGAATAAAAGGGTAAAATGACAATTTTTTTTTTTGGGGCATTCATTATACTGATAGGCACCACCAATTCATCATTTCTCGACCAACTTTGCTTGGTTTTGCGTCAACAAACATGGGTTAGGCTGCTTACTTGGCACCTAACGAAGACCAGAAAATAGGGTCTTTATTATGCCATTATGATCGAGGATTGTTACATTACTCTGTTCGGCGTTACATTCAAGTCATTTCTAACAATCTGATTAAAATAAAAATAATTAGTTAAATAATTAATGTTGCCTTAAAAAAAGAAACATCTCAATTTATCTTCATTAAATTCATTATCTTAAAAAACACATACTTTTAATGAGAAATGAAAATAAAATTTATCTGAAATATATAAATGATAAATTTATTTTTCGAAATATCATAATTTTTCTGAAGTTTCTAGAATTTTTTATCATTAATAAATTTATATAAATTATCAAATTGTCCTTCTTAAAAATAAATAATTTACAAGTTTTGTTTAAATATTCATAACTTTCCTTCTTATATTCACAATAATGTAACAATAAATAAAAAATTCAACATGTAAAGTTGTGGTTTGTTATTGCATTGTTGCAAATATAAGAAGAAAAGTTATAAATATTTAAACAAATCTTATGAATCTTTTATCTTCAATAAAGATAATTTAATAATTTATATAAATTCATTAATAACAAAAAATTTTTAAAAATTTTAAAAAAATTATAATATTTTAAGAGATTAAATTATTATTTATATATTTAAGAGTATCTTATTGACATTCCCACTACTTTAATTGCAAAGCAATCAAATTAGGAGAAAATAATTAGAGATTCGTCTTTTTATGCAAAGTAGTGACACACACACAAGGAGTAAGTAACATGAGGTCTTATTCAACAAACTTTAGCTCTTGTTTGCATAAAAAACCACAAAATTCTACTTAACACGTGATAGTAAGAGCATGAAAAGGTCAAATTTAGTTAGAAAATTAGAATTTAGGGATACTCAGAAAGCGATATTCCATGTTCCCATGGGAACAGTACAAAAGGCTTTAAATTTGCGGATAGATTCAAATTCAAATTGATGGCAACATGTGAGGATGAGCCAATGGAGGCTAATAAAAAAAAATCAGGACTCCACCAAAACCATTTTTATTGTGCATTGCAAGATAAGGGATAGTGTTTGAGCAATTCAATGATTTTTTTTTTAAATATAAGGTTACAGAAAAAATTGTGTAAAAAGATACAAAAATTAAGTCATGTTAAATTCTACATTCTAAAGATGAATGATTAAAAATAAGATTTAATCTTGAGATGGCTAGTGTATAAGCATATAAATACATTTGTTTGTTTATTTGAATAAATAGTCAAAAGAGAAGTTGATTGCCTGTTTATTTTAACTTATTTCTTGAAAAAATTACTTTACTTTTTTAAAAAAATTTGTTTTGTAAATTTTTATTATGTTTGTTTAAATTTTTGAAAATAAGTAGAATAAAAAAAAGCAATTTTATGATTATTTTTAAAAGCTACTCAAATTTTAAGAAGCTACATTAGATAGTTTTTAAAAATAATTTAATGCGATAGGTGATAGAATGTTTTAAGGAGACAGAATATATAAAGATGTCGTAAAATTTTAAAATAATATAATAATAAATTATTTTTATGATATCTAGAAGATATCATAAAATTTAATAACAACTAACTAATAATTACTTTTTTTATTATTATAATCAAACATAAAATTATGTCTGCATTTCATAAAATTTTTACAAAATAAGTCTCCTTTTATAAAATCTTTGAATTATCTAAAAATTATTTATTTTTTAATCTTAAATAAACATGTTCAATTTTCATGATATGCTCTTCTGATTCAAGAGTGGAAGTGGCTTGTCGGTTGTCTCATGGAGCAAACAATTTTTTATTTTTATTTGGGAAAAAAAAAGATACGGCTAACTTTTTGTTTTTACTTAAAGGGTCACTTTTTATTTTTTATTTTATTTGTAGAAAGATGCAATAGGTTTGGCCGTTTGGGAATTAATCAAATATTATCACACGGGCTGATGAATGTAAAAGGGAAAATTTTTTAAAGAAAAATTTAATGCCTATAACCTCCTACTTATAATAGAATACATACTATTAGACTGCAAGGTCAATTGACCAAAAAAAATAATAATACATACATCTTTTTATATAAAGTGACTTATAAAATATAAATCAATTTTTTTTTAAAAGATGACTTATATATACAATAAGAGAATAATAAATAAAAAAGCATATACGTTGGAAAATTCTAATTGGATAAAGATGGCACGCTACAAAACCAAAGTCATTTTGTTATCACAAGGCAAAGTAGTTCCAAGTAATGGTGTCTTCCTGACTTTTTTCCTTATCTTTTTTTCCCCCTCCCTCTTTGAGTATACTGTCCTATTCCAAATTATAAAATAATTTAAAATAAAATTACTCATATCAGTAAAGCTCAATAATAATACTTTATAAATTTATTTTTCTCAAATAAAATTATAAATGTTTAAAAATATCGTTCATTTAATATAACTTTAATTCTATAATTATTTTAATTTTTTTTCATATTTTATGGATAATGTTAAAAAAAATTATTACTAAAACTTTATTATTATTAAATTATCTTATATTTTGAGATAATAAAATTCATCATATCTCCCCTCATAATTTGGGATGGAGGAAATATGTCATCTGTGGAAGAACAAGACTTTAGTGCAGCTGTTAAACTGATATTCTACAAAATTGACACGGCAGGATTAAGCAATGGATTCATTGTCGTTAGTGATGCATTATTCTATGAACAGGAAAAATCTCTTTTAAGTTAATCTAGGTAAGAAATTCCACTCTTCTCTCTCCTTTTTTAACCCCTCTTGAACCATATGATTTTAGGGGCCACTCTCAATCATTTGAGAAATTTAATTATTTAGCATTGCACTCTTCTAATGCTCATGGGATTTGGCCCAAAAACAATAAAATTAAAAATAATGCTCATGGGATTCAATACAAGATGGCGAAATTCTGAGTTCGTACCAGTGTTTCATCCACTTTTGCCAAAAGCAAAGCGGAACAAGTAAGCAATAGCCCATATTGTGGAGGGTCTTTCTTTGGACAGGGTTCAGAATTTATAACGCGGTTGGTTTGGTGGGAATTGGATGGAGTAGCTTGCTTTTGGTTTAACCAAAGCCCTCATCATGTTTGTCAAAATGCCTCAATGGGATTGAACATTGAAGACTCTGACAGTTTCCACTGTCTTCTTAAACTAGATGGACAAAACAGAACAAGTGATGGGGTCCACAGACGACCCTTTTCCCAAGCCGTGATTGATGGCATTGCGTTTTAAAAAAGGAATTCTTTCATTCCACTCTTTGAAGTTTGATAACACTTTCCTTCATTTTGGAGGGAACATGAACATGGGCTTGCACTTGCATGCTACCCCACACTACACTTCCTCTTGCCTCTTCTTAAGTCACTCCCAAGATTCAACTAATACTCAAACTTACAAAAGCATAGCCACCCTCCCTAAAGTCTTTTAGTCCCTTCCAAGCCTTAAAACCACTTTCTTTTCTGCCTTTCTTTAACCCCCTCCTCCATTCCCACTTCTATTTGTCTCTCTTTCTCTTAAGTTTGAAGTCATATTTCAGCAATACACATTCCTTCACCATGGATTGGTTCTCATGGCTCTCAAGGACTGGCCTTGAGCCCTCCCTAGTGTATGAATATGGCCTTGCTTTTGCTCATAATGAGCTTGAAGAAGAAGACATAGTTTACTTCAACCATGAGTTTCTCCAGAGCATGGGCATCTCCATAGCCAAGCACAGACTAGAAATTCTCAAGCTTGCTAGGAAGGAGAAGGGGAAAAGCCCTCCTGCAGTGGCAAGGCTCATTGTGGCGATCAAGAGGACAAAGAGGTGCTTAGCTAATTACATTCGGACATTGACTCACTGTGAAGAATCAGCTCTTGTGGTTGTGCCATCAAAGCGCACTACTTATGGTACTAGGTGGAAGAGTGCAGTGGTGAAGAGAAACAAAAAGCTGATGATTGCTAAGCAAGAGAGGCTCTTTCTCACCAATGGAACTCCAACAACAGTAGTGCCTGCTCTGCCTGGTCTTGAAGGGTTTTCTAGTCCTGTGCTGTGCAGTGACCAGAAGGAAGAAAAGATGGATGCAGATGAAGAAGATGGGTATTGGTCAGCTGCTGTAGAAGAGATCAGGTGGGATACTTTGTTCACAGATTTGAAACCCAACTGAAAGTTCTTCCCTTTTCTTGGGAAGATTGCAAACCCAGGAAAATGAACTGCGGTGTTTAAATTCTTCAAGGGAATACTAAAGGGAAGGGGATACTTGGATTTTTCCCATCTTCCTTTGTGGTTAACTTCATCCCTGATTTTAAATTAATGGGTGAGAAATAAGGTCTTTTTGGGATTCCTCACCAAAGAAATTTGATTATTTTCTTTACAGGATCTTACTTTTTTTACTTTAGTAGCTGGTGGGTCACGCAGACGGGTAACTTTTGGCACCTTGTCTGATTTGGTCATGAGATTGTCTCCTTTGCTTTTTCTGTGTGTAAGTTATTTTCTTCTTTAGCTTTGATAGGGGAAAATTGTGCAAGATTAGCGTCTTTACAGGGAGAGAAGGATTGAAACAGATAATTAGGTTTAGATCTGTTGCAGATTAGAGTCTGCTTGAGGCCTTGAGCTTTTGCTTTGTACTGTGCATTGTGATGACAATACATATTAACCGGGTATATTTAATACTTGTTTGGCAATCATGTCTTCGAAATTTGAATTCTCTTTTAAATTCCTTTCTTGCCACTGGTCTTCTGAATTCTGCAACATCATGGATTGGTGAGAGCCCATTTAATTTATTGTGATCATTATAGTCTACCATCTCTTTCCATTTAATGCCTCAATTGGAACTGGGCAATCTTATTCTGATTTCTTATGGGCATCAGAATGGGTCTCAGCTGACAAGAGCGTCAAATTTCAGAAGAATAAGAGTTTTATAGCTATGTCTGCTTTATGGAGCTGGAGGCATCAAAGTTCAGCTTATATCAGTAAGTAAAAGCGTTCCGGGGTGGAGAGAAAGCACTCCTAACTTTAACTACACCTCCATTATCAAGAACACTAAGAGCACTAGGATAAGGGTAAGAAGGCATTGGAAACGCATTAAAATGTGTGCTTTCATAATTTACTAGCTAGGGTGGATTCTGCGTACTCTGCACAAAATTTGAAATAAGTTGTACCATAGACTTGTAAATAATATAGCTTCTTAAAAACTTCTGTAGATATATCTATAAAAATATTGATAGTTTCAATGAACTCTTAGCATCAATCTCGAGGACATGAACGTGCTTAGGAAAATTATTCAATATAACTAATCGAGAGTAGAAGAAATACTAAAACCACAACAGAATTACTTGGAACTTGGAACCAGATTCTCTCCATCCCTCCCCTCTCCTAGAGAGATCCTCAGTTGAAAATGGACCCAAAAAGAAATGATTTTAGAATAAAATTTTCCCTGCCATGTGCCACTAACGGATTTTAAAATGCAGGGACCATCCTTAGAGAAAATATGAAAAGACAGGAATGGGCAAACCCATGTGAATTTATCCCCCAAGAATACTGTAAATAATAAGTCTTTTCTGATACATACAACATTACTACATACCAGAACTTGGATCTTGAGAGATCACCAATTAAAACCCAAAAATATTGAATCGTTCATAACAATATGGAGGGTCAGAACATTTCAGAACACATAAGATCCATGCTAATATATTTTCTCTATATCATATTGAACTAGGCCTCAGGAATATTAGTATTACATCTTGTGTCTACCAGATAAATTTTTCACTGTTCAGTGATCTGAAGCTTGAGGGAGACGGAAGGAGCCGCTAGCGTACAACATTTTGTAAACTGGGCGTATTCTAACGGTCAAAATTATACTCAAGATGGTGCCTAATCCACAGATGCCGGCCAAAACCAGAAAGGTGAGCCTGAAACAGTATGAACCATAGCAAGTGGAACCTCCATATTTGGAAGCTTCTGCATCATATACACTACCAGCTAGCAGAGCAGAGAAAAGAAGAGCACCGATTGGGTTTCCTAGTTGCATGAAACCATTAAGTACGCCGAAGTGTCTCAGACCAAAAAGCTCGGACACGGATGGGATCATTATTGAAAATTGAACCCCATAGCAGACTCCAAGCAAAGCCGTTGCAACATAAAGAGTGCCATCTGAATAAGCCAGAGCATAAAGCACAAATACTAGGATCATAATTATCTGTGTACAAGTCATCCAAAATGTTCGAGGTAGCGTCATCGACCTGCCATGAAAAATAACCCATCATTATGCACCAAAAACAAGTATATAATAATCAAACTAATAGAAAACAGTTGAAATTGTGTTAAGAAAGTTAATAATAGAACAACTGAGTTAGCTGATAGCAAGACAGGTAGATAGAATAAAAGCATGTCATGCAAGCTCAATGCAAAGTTAGCTACTACTTCAAACTGTACAATGAAGGTGAAATGAAAATGCTCATGTTTTGTGGAGTCTATGATTAGTCGAGTACAATACCTGACAAAGTGTTCAGAAACAACACCGGCACCAAGACGACCAATGAAGTTGCAAAAGCTAAAGACTGAGAGCAATATGGTTGTATTATCAACGCCTTGAGCGACTCCTATTTGAGCTAAATTATTAAGAACCGTAACTCCTGAACCAACGCCTAGAAAATAAACAAGCCAAAGAAGCCAGAAATCGGCCTTGATTAAAGCTTCATGGAACTTGAAATCTTCCCCCCTTCTAGGCTTTCTTTTCTTCCTCACTGCTCCCTCTCCTTCTGCAAGAAGTATCTCAATATCTGAAGCATACTCATTTTCGTTGGAACTCCCAAGACAAGCAGCTGAGGAAGATGGTGTCAACAATGGATCTATATGAGTCAAATCATCATCAGATACCAGCTGACTTGAAGAACCATCCTGTGGTCCTTTTTTCTTAGGATTGGCAGGGAATAGTGTCATCTTAACTGGAATTACAAGTGGAGTCATCAAAAGTATAATCATTATGGCAACTAAGATGTAGGAAACAGCATCACTTATGGAAATAACCTCATCTAATACTGTGGCGGTGACAAGATAGATGGCAAGTAAAACACTTGCAGCTTGTACCAATATGAAGTGAACATGTACTGAGGAGTCTTCCCCAGAAGGAGGAGTACAAGGCCGAATAAAGTACATTAAAGCTAAACATACAACAGGAACCCCAATTGCAAGGAACAACAACAGTTTTGAAGAAGAATCTTTAAGTATCAAGGTATAAATCAATGTATACACTGCAGCACTAATCCCCACATAACCTTTAAGAATCCCTGAAATGCTGCCCCTACTGAGAGGGAAGTTCCTCATGTTTGTAACAAGAACAGATGTTCCAAACCACGCACAACTGTTAGAGCCAGCACAGAGTGCAATCCATAACTGCAAAGCCATGAGGAGAGGTTAGACATGCATATAAAACATTAAACTGAAGGAAGGAGCCACCTTATATTGATAGAAAATCATGTCAGCAGAAAAGCACATAGATTAAGAAATGAATGAGAAGAGCAAACTAGTTTTGCAATAATGCAATCAAAGGTGATTAACATCTCCTTGACATGTTATTGGAAAGCTTCCATATACAACACTTCGTAGTTCTGACAGCAATGGTATTCATTATCAAATGAAGACAAATTAGTGTAAGACCTAATTCATCATCAATATATTAGTATCTTGCAATTCCAGCCATTGGTCCTCAACTACAGCTTAAGCGCTGGGGAAAGCTGAAAACTACCATGCAAAGTCATAATCAGTATTGTTTTTCCAAGATTAAATCAAAACTTATTTTATAAATTGCACAGAACTTCAAAGAAGCCCTGGCCCAAGTTCTTCAATCCTGCAGACTATATCACAAGTAATCATGATCCAAGAAACTGGGTTCCAAAGGCTAGAGCTCAAGAAAATCAATTGGCTAAGGAAACGGGTTTGGTAAATCCCACATTATATTTTTGACTCTAAATAATTAATGCATTGCGTAAGACGATCATTACTCAACTCTGATGAGTTACCATTACAATAGGGTTAGTTATCTGAACTTAATTTCTTGTCGCAGTGTTTAAAGATCTCAGGTTATGTTGGAAACTAACACAAGTTCCTTTATTGTTTACCCGACGGTTAGATCCTCTCACCATAGTAGGTTAACTTTACATGAACTCATAAACTACTTCCTTCATTTGAAATGGTCACACTGTTCTACAATAATAAGTTTCCTTCCAATCCAACTCCCTTAGAAGGAGATCAAGTTTTGCTGACAATAAGATAACATAATTTAGTAAATTATCAGAATGAGAGGAAAATGAATATTTTGCAGGGGGAACATCAAAGTTAAGACAATTATATTGAACATGGTGAAAATATCTGATTGATCCAAGGGAGAATGACATTTGAGTCCCTTGTATGGGAATATTAACTTTTTGATCCCTATATCATAGTTGTCAATATCAAAAAGATCATTGTTTCAAAGGACCAAAGTGTCAATAATTCCCTTACAAGGACTCAAACGCGATTCTCCCGTGATATAAAATGGAGACTGGAGAGGCATGCAACCTCTGTTGGAGAGAAAATTCTCCAGGTTCAGCAAAACAATTGAATCCACTCAGAAATTCTTTCAATTAAAACAACACCATATTCAATCCATTAGATGTATCTAGAAATTATTTCCATCAAGATCACAGTTTAATTTAAGATTTACTGGCAGGAGATATAAAATTAGATCATTGAAATGAGAGAAACAGGTCATCTCAATTACCAGAATATATGGCAAGCTCGAAAGAGTTTGCCTAAGAGCAAGCCAGATAACTCCATAACCCAAGAAACAAATCACTGAACCAATCAGAATCAAAGCCCAAGGAGGGAGCTTGTTGCAGGCATAACCAGCAGGCAAACTCACGCTTTCCCCAATATCAGTAGCCACTCCAAGCATAGTCACTTGTCGCTGATTGAGACCCAGTATGGATTTGAGCGCAGATGAGTAAAGTGGGAAGTTGTACGTATTGCCGGCAGCGATTTGGACCCATACTGCAGCAGCAAGACCGACCCATGGCGGTCTGCTTCCAGCTTTGAGAACCGGTTTGGGCATTTCTAATTATCACCCTTATTGCCTCAGGTGGTGAAAAGAAGAGATTTTTATGGTGGGTATGAGAACTTTGATTATGAGCTCAGTGTGAGGGTCAGTAGTAGGCAGAACATGGAATGTGATCAGCAATTCAGAATTACTACGCGACAAGAAGAAATGAACAGAGCTTCTGAAGAGTGACTCAGGAGGAGGAGGACGAGTCAAGACGTTTTTACGTCGCGTGAATTGGTTTGACGAGTGATTTTGTAGCTTAAGCTTATCAAAATTGCTGATTTCTGTATAATTGACATTTGATATGTTGATTCTTTTTAACTCAGGCAAGTGGCGATCCATGATGACACTGATGAAGCTTTAGTCGGAGCCCTTTTCTACAAAAATCCAATACATTTAATCGCGATGATGATGATGACGATGCCCCACCCCACGCATATGATGCCGGTACGATGCGATCCTCGTGTTATGCCCTGTGGCCATGGCTTGTCCAACGAATGGGAGTTAATCTGTTCTTTTTTTTTTTTAAATTATAAAGTCACAGTAAAACAGTACAAAGATAGTAAGATCTGGTCATATCTAAAATAATGAGGTTTCCATAATTGTGCATTGGTACATCAAAAATCATAATATTAAAGGTATCATGCCATGGCCAATAAGCTAAGATATCGACACATCTATTTATTTTTCTATGAATATGATCAAAAGTGACTATTCAATCTCTCATAATAAGATCTTTGATCTTCCTGATAGTATCAAAATAAAGATGACTCTCAAAGTATATGCGATTAATGAGTAACAATGCCTCCATCAAATCAAAGTGGATATTAACTCTTGATAATTTTACATTCCAACAAAGATTTAGCCCCTTAAATATTCCCATAAATTCTGCTGCTATACTAGATTGATATTCAAGTATTTAAAAAATCATTTAATCCAAGTTCCTTTATCATCTCTGATGATGCCTCTATAGGCTGCGGTACCATTAGTGTTAATAGAATCGTCGATGTCAAGTCTAACCCATTTGGGTTTGGGTGGACTCTATTTTTCATCATTTATAGAGTTGTATTTTCCTAAATGGGTGTTTTTGGATAGAAATTTTAAATCATTATTTATCTATTGAGTGTTAGAGAAGGCAATATCATTGTTTGGAATGTCATCTGTTGAGTATAATTTGCTGCATCTAACTTTTTAAATATTCCAGCAAGCTTGTGCAACAAGTTTTTATTAAAGGAGGGTCTCCAGATGAAAATATTTTCTTCACCTTGACGGTTAGTTACTCTATTGTTGGCAATATAAATGCTTGTCTCGTTGTTTGAGATGATTTGGTAAAAAAATGGTTGTTTTTAATATCATTAAAAAAAGTGAGAGATCATATTTATTTTTAACTTTAAATAATAATACAATTATATTAAATACTTTTATGTTAATTAAGAAGGAATAAAATTAAAAAAAATTAATTATTATAAGATATCTTAAAATTTGGATTAAAAATTACTTTTAGAAGATGTCTTATAAATAAGATCAAATAAAATATGTCCTATTTTATGCTCGTATACTCCCTCTTGTCCATGATACAAGACATTTTTCTCAGTCCAAAAAAAATAGTACTCTGTCTATCTTAAATTATAAGATACTTTTAAAAAAGATTTGCCATCTTAAAAAATAAAACACTTTGAGAAGATTAATATTTTATTAAATAAACTTGTTTTAATATTATCCTTTCTCTTTATATTTAATATTAATTAAGTGTAGATCTAAAGTTATTAAATGAAAGATATTTTTGAAATTTTATATTTTTATTTTAAAAAAATAAGGTTATTAAATATATTTAATGAGATTTATTAATATATGAAATTTTGTCTAAGAATATCTTATAATTTGAGATAGAGGAAATACAATACATTTTTTTAAACTTTTATTTCATTCAATTAAAAAATTAAATAATTTTTGTAATTATTTTTTAACTATATCCTTACTTTATTTATCAATTTTTTTAAAAATAATACATAAAAATTTTAATTACCATTACTAAGATAATGAAAGTGTAAATAGAAATATACAATTTTTTTTAAAAATAAGATATTAACTAACATTTTTTAAACTATAAATTAGTTTCAAATGCTCTATATTTTATTTCTTTTATAAAAAAATATAAGATATTTTTTAAGGAAATAAATGTTTAAAAATATAAAACATTTTAAATTTTTTAAAACATAATCATTATATCTTTTTTAAGTGTTCTTATTAAATAAATTATTTTATATTTATTTTAAAAAATTTATAAAAATAAATATAAAAAATAAGGTTGATATAAAAATAAAAATTATTTTATTAAAAATAATGTTTTGATTAAAAATATTTTATATTTTTTAAACGGAGCCAAAAGTTATTATCATGAAGAATATGAGTGTCGGAACTCGGATGTCAAGGTTGATTTAACTTCTTCGCGTTGGGGACCACAGCATTAAATATTATGATGATATTTATATTTTAAATAAACTTTAACAAATTTGTCAAAGAAGAATTCCCATGATGTTATATATAATTTGACTGGCTGCCGAGAGTTACACAAGTTTAAGGGTGAAAATAGCTGCCTCGAGTTAAATTTTAACTAAATAAATTTAAACTTATATAATAAATTAAAGATCTGAATTTAATTTGAAACTTATATAATATCATTTTTATAGTTTAAGTTTAAATTTACTTAAAGCCTGATCTAACCTGCATGCCTATTTAGAAGCTTACTTAAGAGTAAAGCATTTTAAATAGACTTGCATTTTAGTTTTAAATTTATTAAATATACTTTAGAACTATTATAATATACAATATATAACCTAATTTATTAATTATAATATATAAAAATTAAAAGGACTTATTAACTACAATATAATATAACAATAAAGTGACAATATTAAAATTAATATATATGTATATGTCAAATATGATTAAAAATATAATCAGAAGTAGTAAAAAATAAATTGATTAAAAATCATATAGTGAAATTGATGTGTTTATGATATAGTACATAATATATATATATATAGACCAGCCTGTTGAGCTTATAGGATAGGCCTTGAAAAAATAGGCCTAACCTATTTAACTAAATAAACTTAATTAAAGACATGAGTTTAGTCTAAACCTATTTAGTAAGTATGCTAGGTTAAGTCTGAAATAGGTTAAGTTGTAGGCCTCTATTTTTCCACACCTGCACAAGTTATATGTGAAACAATCGAATAAAGTGTCTCAGTCATCAAAATTTAGAATATTTTAACAAAAAATTAATGTTCCTTTATTAAATAAACTTATGAACATTAATATTCATTTTAAAAGAGAATTGATACAAAAAAAAGTGAATTAAGTATTTTTTTTGTATTTATAATATATTCAACATAATTATATTTATTATTTTGATTTCATTTTTATAGCATATTTTTTTTAAAAAAATAAATTATGACTCCAATTTCATTCTTCAATATTGTAGATAATTATGTCTTATAATTTAAATATGAGATAATTAATTCGTGTAAGTTGCTAATTTGAGTATGATAATTATTATTAAGGCATAACATATTAGTTGCATATTCTGGTAATAGAACATCGTTGCCTTTAAAATGTACATGTGATATCAACTTAGAAAATAATTCCTGTTGTTTTAGATTAAAAATTAGATTGATCATTGAATTGGTTGAGATCAAGGATCAAGGGTTAAAAGTACAATCAGGTCAAATCAAGAGCTAAATTGGAGTTGAACTGGTCATAATAAAATAATATATTTTTTCATTATATAATACATAATAAATCATGTAGAAATATAAAAATATAGAATTTTTTCTTGAAAAAATTACATATAGGTTCTATACAAAGAAATTAATTATGAGCAAAACTTATATATGTACCTTTATATACTTAGTACACTTTCATTCAATCAAATTAAGATATGTATAGATTAATATATTAATAATTTTAATAACATGAATTTATTATAAAATAAATAATCTATCATAAATACAAGGCTATTAACTAATAATTTTAATTTAATTATTAATAAATTATATAGTAATTAATTTTTTTATATAAAATTTTATCATAATTTTTTTTTTCTCATTTATTTGTACCGACCTATTTCTAACATTGAAAAAATCACCACCCCTTTGCTCTTTTCAATGTTGGGAGGCATCAATCACCTCACCTTTTGGACTTTCCTTCACATATTTGGTTTTCATCTTCTTCCTCCACGTGCTTCCCTCTTCTTCTCTCGTCATCTTTGCTTGAGCTGCAGAAGAAGCTGTGCTGAAGAAAAGAAAGAGAACACACACGTTGTCTCAAAATCACAACAGCAATGTTGAGCACCTGAGCTACGTTCATAGGTCAGGAGGGTCAACAACAAGGTGGGCCTTAGCAAACTTGACGGCAAAGGAAGCAGACCGGAGAGGACCAAGAACGGTAAGGTTCTATTTTTTATTTACTACTAAATGGGTATTAGGACTTGAAAAAATAACCTGCCTAATCCACGGGACTCGTAGGGCAGGCTGGTTTAATTTAAGTTAATCTTAAGTCACTCGAGTCAACTCAAGTTGACTGATACCTAAAAAAATAACCAAATCAAACCGGACACATAGCTAGTTCACTAGTTTAAATCACTAATTTGATCTAGTTGTACAAATCATACTTTTCATTTCCACAAGACAAACCCATTATTAAAACATAAGTAACTGAACAATTTATAGGAATTAACTCAAACATTTCTCTTCTTCATGCACTATGTCATTAATCGTGCTCGATTTGTTGAAGCTATATTTTTCTCTCCAATTTTTGCAAGGAGATAGCATCCAAGACCCTTCCTTCCCTATCAAAAAGGCTAATTTAAGTGAAACTAAATGAACTTAAAACATATTCTTTATAAAATTACATTTAACATTCAATATATTCAATTACCTCAAGGTTTAAAATTTTTAATGCAAATAGCAACTAAAGATCACAATTGAACATATACCTACATTAATGTCATGATAAAATCGTAATTTCTCGTTGTTCATATACTACTCAATGCAACAAATCACTACTAAATTAACTATGTAAACCAATAGCCTTATAACCAAAGCATCAATCCCATACAAAAAGAAAGACTACTAATTGTTGATTAGAACATTCAACAATTAAAGGCTACTAGCAGTCTAGTAATAATATATTAATTATAAGAAAATAGCTTGAAATAAATATAAGTACCACTCCTGGCCAATAAAAAAAAAGATTCACATTTTAAAAATCCTAAATACAAAATAAGATAATTGATGTCTAACAAAGGCGCATTAAGAGTGAA